AATGCAAACTGAGTCACAAGCAGGTCCTGGTCATTTAAGATGTTATGTCAAGTTGATACACCTCAGTTTCTACATAACTTGCATAATAGTTTCATAGTAGTCAATAATTCATAGTAGCTAAGTCTGATAACCGAATAATAAGCTGAGACTTAAGAAGTTAATAGCACTTAATGGTTAAAAGCACTTAATGGTCCACCAATGGGCTTTTCAACTCACACCATAAAAGTAATGCATTGTATGTTATGTTTATTCATGTGGAAATTACATATATATTTGAATCAAGTAATTTCAATCCATTTCCTTTGTGTTCTATATAGGGAAGCAATCTTATGTTAAACAAAAGGTCAGAATAATAGAGAGTTGCTAAACATTAGGGGCCATTGTCTCAAGCACACTTTAGTTCTAATCCCTCTCTAAACCACACTGGCTTTAAAAGTGCACAAAGTGTATTATAGTCTTAGTAGTAGCTGACTTCGCACAAAAAACCTGGTGCTGTACATCAAATGCATACAGAAAGAGAAAAGGAGAACAGGGAGAAAAAGGGGGAGAGAGACAGGCTCCAAAGAATGGGAGTGTTTGACACGTCCTCTGCTGTTTGATGGATGGTGAGCGAGAGTATTAGTGTGTCCCAGTCTGGTGTTGGATTGTTGTCATAGTGTAAAAGTGCTGCTCCTTCATCCAGGGCTTCAGAGTGAAATTCTCTTTTGTTTACGCCATGACGCTCAGTGGCAGACTGCACAGTCATAACAGCTTTACAAAGACAGTTAACACAAACCTGCGATCTGGCTCTGCAAATACAGCTAAAACAGCTGAGATAATAGTAATACAGGAGAAGTCTTCCACCTACCTATAGGTACAGTATCAGAAATGGCAGACCACAGTTAGAAATGTCAGACTCAGGCTACTGAAGATAGTAAGCTGAACAATGGTGTGCTATATAGATATAGATAATAAAGATTTTAACATAATAATAATAATAATAATAATAATAATAATAATACATCAATCTACATTTGTAAGGCACTTGTGTGATATGATATGATATTACTACACTACACTGCCGTACAATATAAAGCAGAATTTCTACAGTAATCAGCTGTATTCCTTAAGAATGGTGCATTCTGAGAGACACGGGTTTAAACTTCTTATAAAATAATGTCAGATTTTACAGTAATTAACTGTTATTTGCAAAGCAAAATAGATTGGTGTTCTTGAGCAGCCTGTCTCAAGCATTCCTTGCAGTTTTGTTAGTTTATTGTTAATTTGCTCCTTTTTTGGTGTTTCATTTAATTAGTTCATCCTATAATGTCAGAGTCATTACATAGTTTGTTACTGCCATAACTGCTGGCTTGATTTTGTAAATATTTTTCTTTCCTTTTTCTTTTCTCAGTAACAGCTTCTTGACAGCTACACATCCTTTCACACTTACAGTCTGGACTTGTCTTCTCACAGTGGAAGGATGGACAGAAACACCTGTGGATGTTTTCAGATCTGAAGCAAGAGTGGAGCTAGATTTTCTCCTCTCTCGAAGAGATGAAAGATTTAAGTACAGTTTGTCTGATGGTGACAGTTTTGTTGGTCTATAAGGTCTTGCATGGTTGTTAGGAGTCCCATTTTCTCTTTATCTTTAAATGATTTTTTGAACTACGGTTATGGAAACTCCATTTTTTCACTTATTTTTCTTTGACATTCCGCTTCCTTGTGAAAGTGGTTTTGTGTATATTGTATATGTACGGTGGCCGAGAAGACCCAACAAACTGCAAATAAAAAGCCTTGCTTTCATCAAAATGACAACATGGGCGCTGTAAATTCATAGACCCTGCAAACTCAGAAAGCACTTTCATCAAATTGACGGCATCAACACTACATTTCGCAAACGCGCTGCAAATAGAGAAAACACATGCAACTTCAAAAACGCCGATAAGCCAGTCACAACACAACAGAGATGTTTCTGGAGGACACTCAAAGAGGACAGAGCCATTCAGACCTTTAAATTCTATGCAGCACAAACATCCACAGGTAAGTTAACTTTTATTTGAGCAGATTACTATCACTGTACAATAATGTGAATTAGCTGTAGAATGTAACTGTAACAGTTTAATTAGTAATACCAGGTAACTACCACAGCACAGCTGTGATATGTCAGACAGCAAACTAACCAGCCAGGTTAACCATGAAGGGAGATATTTGATATATTATATCCCCTTTGAGCCCTTTGAGTCTTCCAGAGACTTTTCTGCTGCATTGTGGCTCACTTCCATTGTGCTGTGACTGGCTTTGCAGCGTTTCTGAAGTTGCATGTGTTTTCTTTATTTGCAGTGCATTTGTAAAATGTAGCGTCAATGAAGTCATGTTGATGAAAGTGTTTTCTGTATTTGCAGCGCATTTATGAGTTTGCAAAGTGTTTTTAAATGTACTAGGAATAGGGTCTTGACGGCCACCGTATATCCTCAGAAACATCTAAAATGTGATGTGGTGTGACTGATAAATAAAAAATAAATAAATGGAAAAATAACAATCATTCTCCTTACTACCATGCATGAATGTTGCAACATTTGCTGTCAGAAGCCAGCTAGATAGAACTGCCCTGTTTGGATATATCTACACATGTTGTAATACATAATGTAGTAAAACCTGCAGTCTTCAGACAGCTGTAGTTGCACATTAGAGCACATGTGAGTGTCATTTTATAATGCAGTGTGAGAACTTTAAATAATTCCAATAACGTACAGTGTATTTTTACACTGATAATACGAACCAAATAATACTAGACAGATCAATAATAACAACAGATATCATTGTACAATAAATGTTTACAACACACTTTTTTTCTCAAATACAGCATGTTATTTTGTACTGTGAAATCTAGGAACCTTTCCAAAATGAACTATCCCAGAATTCTCTGAAATCCCTACAAAAGCAATCAGGAAAACCAAGAACATTGCTTTAAATTCCACAACATTAACACAAAAAATGCAAGATTTAATGAGTGTTTAAAGTTTAAATTGATTGGACATAATATAAAAGTAAAATAACAATCAGATGTTTAGATTTGTATGGCATTGATAAATCATCAAGTTGTGTTTGTGGGTAGTGATATATCTGTATCTGTATCTGTAAAGTGTAGCCCCTTACAGGGCAGGGTGAGTGTTGCCTGAGCTCATGGAACAGCAGGCCTTGATTCAACAGCACCAGTAGAACTGTGGTAGTTAATCACTTGAAGTTATGCACAGGATAGTGCTGGCAACTAAACTGACTTTCATAGCAATTAGTGTAATTTGTTGTAGGTTTGATTATACAGTACTGTGAAGTCAGAAACCTCTGTTCATTTATTCAATTTCTAGTCAAAACAGACAATAAGTACAAGTTAGTAATTTTTCAGCATCAGGAAAAAACAGAAAACATATATTTCACAGAAAATTACACAGAAGCCCCAACAACTAAACATAATATCATTTTTTCAGTGTTTAGAGTGTCCACCCTTTACTTTTATTTCAGCCTTCAGTCTTTTCTGGAGACTTGATTTCAGTTTTTCAAATATCAGGGATTTTCACACACTCCAAAGTTCACATTCACAGCAGAAGGACGGACAGAAACACCTGTGGATTTTTCGTATCTTAAGTAAGAGTGGAGCTTGATTTTTGGCTTTCTCTCAAAGTTGAAAGGTTTAAGTACTTATTATCTGATGGTGACAGATTTGGTGGTCTACCAGGTCTTGCACAGTTGTTAGGAGTCTTATTTTCTCTTACCTTTAAATGAAACAGGAAACTCCTGTTTTTTCCCTTATTTTCCTTTGACTTTTCTCTTCTTCATGCAAGTGGACTATTGTATATTGTATATCTCCTCAGAAATATCTACTAAAAATATCTGCTAAAATAGCTGTTTTAAAAGGAAATTAATGTCGTACATGGCCCAAGTTTGATTACACAGTTCTACAACCTAAGAACAGCTCAACAAGTTGAAGTCCCTATAGTTACTAAAATAAGCCTTGGTATGTAACAAGCCTGGGATTTTAAGCGGTTAAATAAATGAAGGATGGTCTCTGACTTTTACACAGTACTGTATATCTAGTTTTACAATAGTTATTGTGATTTTTAAGATTACTGTGATCTTGTAAGATTACAGTTAAATTATTGTAAAATGTCTTACAGTAGAATGCTTTATTTTTACAGTACTTGACTAGCCACTGTAACTTAAGTGTAACTGTAAATTTTGCAGCATTTTTTTTCCAGTGTACTCCACAAATAGAGGAACACAGAGAAACAATGATAATTGAGGAGTCTAAATGAGACAATGTCTTGTCTATAGACTTGGGATGATCCAACAGAGTGGAGTGTTCACAGCAGAGAGAGAGAGAGAGAGAAAGAGAGGGAGATGTTATTGCGCTGGAAGATGGATTGGAGTCTGGCGCGTGTGCCAGGGGGGAGACTCCACATTTCCAGACTGGCTCTGTTCTGCTCTGGCGGGTGACTGAATGTGTGTGTGTGCGTGTGTGTGTGTGTGTGTGTGTGTGTGCGTGTGTGTGTGTGTGTGTGTGTGTGTGTGTGTGTGTGTGTAAAGGGGGTTACACTGCAGCACACTGTTCAAACTGTTTATGCATACCAGCCTGCTCTGAGTGCCTCTTTGTCATGAGCTGTTTACACAAACTTATTTTGGGAAAATTCCACATGACTGGACAAGATTTCACCATAAATCATTGAATCTGCAGCTTTGTGTAATGATAACTTCTGTCAGTCATTTAGTCCTCCTGAGCTGTCTTTCTTTTCACATCTCTGTTTTTTTCATGCCATGTCTCAGGGACACAGCCGGCCTGTGTGTAAGAATGTGCGCTATCCAAGTCTGATGTTTCTGAATCGAACACTTAGCCATTCAAAATAGGGCTTCATTTCCATTGTTGCATTTTCACACAACTTCAACACACCTTGCTACCGTAGGGCAGATGCTGCGCTACATTTACAGTCTCCACTAGATGGCGGTAGAGAATCAGAACACAAGCAACATTCAATTTGATATGAGATTATATTACGGTAATAAAGACAGCCTTCAAATGCTTCATCGAAGGGGTATAGGCAAGATTTCACTGCGTTATGCCTTTTCAAACCTTGGTTGCAAATGTTATAATATTAAATGAGCAACATGTGGTGCATTTTTTCTAAAATCAGGAGTGATAAATTGATACAGACCTCAGACATAATTATCACGTACAATGTAATACCTCAAAGTTACATTAAACTATTTACAAAAACGATGGCCTGACATGCTGAGTGAACAGGGCAATCTACTCAATTCATTAATTGTAAACAATAACAGTAATAGCCCAATTAATCAAGTAGATTGCACAAATTCCTCGACATATGGTCTCCTCATTTTCTTGCGTTATTATGAGAATAAAAAAAAATCTGTGAAAATTATTTCTGACAAAAAAAACTGTAATTAAATGCAGATCACAACGTTACTTGCTTTAAGTCTATGTTGTCCTTGATGTTTTCTTTGCCATCAGACCTAGAGAAACAAGAGCACAGATAGAAGTGATTGTCCCTGTCTGTATGTTACAGATGTATGATGGACACAAATGTGTGTATTTGCAGTACCTTTTACTTGCTCTGTTCCGTCTATAGACAAAATAGGAGGTAACAGTGATGAAAACAACTACCAGAAACCCAGCCACAGCAGCGAGGCCAATTAAGAGGCTCATCTGTCTTGATTCTGATAAAAGAAGACGCAAATGAGTTAGGTTTTTGTTCATAAACATATACTATGAACAGCAAATAAAGAAATGATGCTCTAATATGCAGAATTTAGCCAAGGTTCAATAGTTTGTGCAAAAGAGGGGCCTGTCAACCTAGTAATAATTGCCTATTATCTTTTCCATTGTCTATAATTTTTCTGTTAATTTTTTTTTTAAATCTGAGTCTTGGTTCTTTTGATGATCGTCACAGCAGTGAAAGAGATTTCAAATAAGTCAAAACCCACCTTTAGGGTCACAAGATTCCCCACCAGAGAGCAGAAGGTGTCTGGTGTTGTCCAGGGAGCCATCATTGACCTCAGGCTTTATTCCTAACAGGTGGCACATTAAGGGGTACACATTGACTGTTTCAAAGGGTCCCACCACCAGATTTTGGTGGAAGTCAGGCCCCACTGCCCTGAAGAAAGGCTTCATATCCAAGACATTGTTATCAAAGCCATGCTCTCCTTTATTGTACTGAACTGGAAACAGCTAGGAAAAGACAGAAAAATTAAGCAGTGAGTTACATATTGTCGCTCTTATTAAAACCTCCCAACACTGTTTTTTAACACCATTTGAAAATGGTAGCTGCCCTTTACGCTGTGTGAAAATATCACAACGATATCACAATGAAGAGTCAAATATATTATAATAAAGAATAAAATCTTGATCTTGAAGTAAACAACTATTTTGCGTCTTCTATAAAGTATGGAAATATCAGGTTTTGTCACAACGTTAACTATATTGTCTCTGTTATTTTAAACCTTGTAAATTTGGCTTTTTCCCATTTTTTTACACCATTTCAAAATGGAAGCTGCCCTGTATGAATGGACTGATAGAAATGGTCCAAAATGACATTTGAATGGGTTAATTACAGCTGATTAAATACATGTGGCATGATCTCAGATATCAAGGACTTTTCCATCCATATTACAGTTCAATTCATACTGTATTTCTAGTGAACTTGTTTTTTTTTTTGGCATTAATTTTGAATTTATATTGTGCAATGAATTGGTTATATTTATACACTCACCCCATTGATTACATATCCTGGGTCAGCATAGAGAATGATGGGTAAAATGCGTGGATGTTTTGAATAATGAAGGCGAGCAGGCATGTCTTCCTTCTTATAGACATGCAGGTTAGGATGAGCATCTTTCAGGCTGCGGAAGACTTTCTCCAGCATGCCCTCTTTGGGCAAAAGCATTCCACTAGGGCCATAGTCCAACAACTGGAACTGAATATCCTTAAAGGAAAAGCCTGGAATTTTGGATAGGGTAATCTCATTGACTCCATCCCCTCTAAACACAGTAGTCATACCATGATCAGCAGTGATGATGATGTTCAGGTGGTCAGTAAGACCATGCTTCTCAGCCGCTTCACGTATATAGCCAACAGTGCGGTCCACCTTTCTGACGGCATCGCGGCGCTCTGGGGAGTCAGGGCCATATTTGTGTCCTGTTTCATCTGGTTCACCAAAATATAGTGAGACAAAGTCCAGATCCTGTGTTTTAAACCAGTCTCCCATGACCTTATCCACATTCTGTCTCCAGTCTGTCTCATTGGAATAGTCATAGAATCGAGGTTCCACCTCTCTTGTTTGTATCATCTCATTCCGATAGGTGGCGGCGGTGCCCGGAAAATGTAAGGAGCCAGTTTTCAGACCCTGAGAAAGTTTTAAAGAATCAATAAGCTGAATTCTGATATAATATCACACAATCAAATGACTTGAAGAACTGTGACAATGTAGAAATTATAATCATCCATTCTGAAAAATAATATCATATAAATGCAACTAAACTTTATGTTAAATGTAATTAATTCTGTAAAACTTAACCCTAACATCACTCTCAGAAAAAAAGGTACAAAACTGTCACTGGGGCAGTACCCCTCTTGTCACTGGGTTTGTACCCTCAAGGGTACATCTCAGTCAGAAAATATAATTGTACTATAATCTACTGAACTTTTTTTTTTTTCTAAGTTGTATTGATGCCACACACCTTGTCTCGTCTCCAGGCTTTTTCTTTTATTCCTCTGTTTTAAACATTAGGTTATGAAAAGGTACAAATACATCTTTCCTTTATTTAAGGTACACAATTGGACCTTAAAACCACTGTTGCACCTTTGACGGTGCATTTACATTGTTTCTACCTTGATGAACGAAAAATGTACCTGCACAGCATCTTTATTTTTAACAGTGTTCAACCTAAAACTTAAACCTTATTCTAATCCTAAACTTAACTCTAATCCTAACATTGCTGATAATCAAGTAACAAACTGAGCATCTGTAGATGATCTGTCGATCTATCTATAGAACAGACGTTTGGTCACACTTTATTTTCAAAGAACCAACCATCAAGAGATTCTTCATGGAACCAAAAGAGGTTTGTCTGTGGCATCTCTCCAAAGAACCCCTCTGAACACCTTTATTTAATACAACCCCATTTCCAAAAAAGTTGAGACACTGTGCAAAATGTAAATAAAAACAAAATGCAATGATGTGCAAATCATTTAAACCCTGTATTTCACTGAAAATAGTACAAGTACAATAGTACAACAAATCAAATGTTGAAACTGAGAAATTTTATGTTTTTTTGAAAAATATATGCCCGTTTTGAATTTGATGCCAACAACACATTCCAAAAAAGTTGGGAAGGTGGCATGTTTACCACTGTGTTTCATCACCTCTTCTTTTAACAACACTCTGTGAGTGTTTGGGAACTGAGGAGACCAACTGCAGTAGCTTTGAAAGTGAAATGTTTTCCCATTTTTGCTTAACATAGGATTTCAGCTGCTCTACAGTTCAGGGTCTCTTTGTCGTATTTTTCATTTTATAATGTGCCAAATGTGTTCAGTGATGACAGGTCTGGACTGCAGGCAGGCCAGTTTAGCACCTGGACTCTTTCAATACAGAGCAATACTGTTGTAATATGTGCAGAATGTAGTTTGGCATTGTCTTGCTGAAATAAGCAAGGCCTTCCCTGAAAATGATGTCGTCTGGATGGCAGCATATGTTGCCAAAACATATATATAATTCAGCATTAATGGTGCCTTCACAGATGTGCAAGTCACCCATGCCATGTGCACTAATGCACCCCTATACCATCATGAATATTGTTTTTTGAACTGTGCACTGATAACAAGCTGAGTGGTCTTTAGACCGGAGGACACAGCGTCCATGATTTCCAAAAAGAAATTCAAATGTTGATTCGTCAAACCACAGGACACTTTTCCACTTCACCTCAGTCCATTTTAAATGAGCTCAGACCCAGAGAAGGTGGCAGCATTTCTGGATCCTGTTTTTATATGCTTTCCTCTTTGTGTTTAAGAGTTTTAATTTGCATTTGTGGGTGCAGCGATGAACTGTTTTCATAGACAGTGGTTTTCAGAAGTGTTTCTGAGCCCATGCAGTGATTTTTCACTACAGAATCATGTCTGTTTTTAGTGCAGTGCCGTCTGAGGGCCCAAAGATCATGGCCAGCAAATATTGGTTTTTGGCCTTGTCCTTTGCCTTCACAGATTTCTCTAGATTCTGTGGATTTTTTAATGTTATTATGTACTGTAGATGATGAATAGCAAAAGTTCTTTGCTATTTTACATTGAGAAACATCATTCTTAAATTGTTGCACCATTTGTTCATGCAGTCTTTCACAGAGTGGTGAACCCCTCCTCATCTTTTCTTCTGAAAGACTCAGCCTCTCTGGGATGCTTATTTTATACCCAATCATGTTATTGACCTGTTGCCAATTAACCACCAGGTGTTGTTTTAAGCATTAGTACATTATACTACACAAAAGAAGTAATTTCAAATGTCAACGCTATCCTGACCAGCATTCTATCAGTGGAATAAGGGACATTGCCTCACAAGTTGTGATGTAAGAGTTCTCACTTTTTGGTTAGATTTTAATGCAGGCTCATGTATGAAGCAGAATAATTCTTAGGTGGCCACATAGCCTCTGCAAAAAAATCACATGGAAGTCAAGTAGAAGACCTCCAGAATTTACCTCCATAATGCATACACTACAGTAGACCTCACCTGTCTTTGAGCTGTTATCCATATAGGTAGAGAACCATTGTCCCAGTAGTCATCAACAAACTGTGTCATGTAGTATTGCTTCTTCTCCTGAGTGGTGGTGTTGAACCACATGTTGTGGATCACTCCATGATTCTCAATGTAACGTCCTGTCGGATATGTTTCAAGACATTTGACATATGCAGTCTATATATGTATGATATATACAGTACAGTGCAAAAGTGTTTTAAAAAAGCTTTTTAATTGGGAAGTTTTTATTTGCTCATAAAACACATTATTAGAATAAATACAAATAACTTTGGTATAGTAAGTAGTGATTTTATGTATGTTAAAGCTTTTGCTTAAACCCCTTGCTTAACCCCTTAAAAGGCCATGATGTGACAGTTTTGGTGGTCTACCGCCATGTAATTATTATTACATAATAAGCCTTGGATTTTAAGGAGTTAACCATTTCCAGCCCTCTCTAAGAGGCAACCAAGTATTATTTAGTTACTATTCAATACCTGGGTTGGCTAATTAATCCCTTATTATATTAAATCAGCTGTACTGATGGCATTGAACAAATCAGGAACCACATTTGTGTTCTTGTTCACAAAACACCAAGTACATTTTTGAAAACAAGAAAGTCATGTTACTTTTTACTATATTTATATTTATGTGAATTTATTCTAATTTGATATTTACTGGCAGTAACACACTTACCGCCCTGGTTTTGGACAATTTGCTTAGGTGCCTAACACTTTTGCACAGTACTGTATGTATGAAACTTACAATGACCTAATTAGTGGCACATTATACCAAAGACGAGAGCCGTTTTTTCAGAAGATATCTTAGATAAAGACTTCTGATTGTATGAAATTGCAAGGTAACCCACAATTTATAGAAATATAGAAATAAAATATAAATATTTCCTCTAACAGCTAAAACCCAAGCTTTAGTTTAGCACTGCATCATTTACAAAACACAATGCGTGATTAACCGCAGGAAATAAAGGGTAATAATGCTATGAAATAGAATGCAGTATTAACAGGTCAGGTTCCTAATTAAGCATATTTTGTGGTCTCCAGCAGTGAATGAAGACAATTTTCCCAAGATTACTAGTTCTTAGCTGCTTCTTTTAAACCATTTCATGTGCAATTCAAGGCATTGCTTTCTATTCTGTCTGTTTCCACTTACCTGTTAGTAGAGTGAAGTGTGTAGGGCTGGTAATGGTTAGATATGGTGGGGTGACATAAGCAGCTTTCACTCCATCTTCAGCCATCTTGTCCAAATTTGGGGTGTCCACATCCCGGTCATAGTCCCACCTGAATCCATCAAAGGAGACGAGCAGCAGTTTATTCCTTACCTTGCTACACGGCCCTCTGACTGGGGCAGAGAGCGCTGGAGAAACTACAAGCAGCCAAAGACTCAGTATCAACAACATGACCAGAGGACATCTATCAGACCTATACTACAGAGAATATTCATCTGAGGCTCCTTTTATACACTTCATGTTACTTGAGTTCATCATGGGTTTTATGAGTAGATTATCGAATCTTATCATAAAAGCCTTATCTGAGTTTTATCATGTGTCAGCTTTTATATTTAAACATGCTGAAGAGAGATATCACACCATGTCCCTTATCTGTTTTTTTTTCTTATGGTTTTACTACTCTTATTCTGTGAGACCTGTCATTGCATCTTGCACAAGAAACAACAATAGGTCAGAAATCATTTCACTAATGCCTGATTGGTAAGAGAACTAAGCTTAAGAGAAGTGTGAGCATAATCTCATCAGATGTTAGACTTCATTGCTGAAATATCTGATCAAAAACCACTGATAACATAGTTAATAACCTCATGTCATGCTGATAATAAAGCATGACATGAGGTCACATGCATTCATGTCCACTGTTTAAGTATTACAAATGTCATGTCAGTGACTTAGGAGAGACCTCCCTGCAGCTAGAGTTGGGCAATATAACAATGTTTATCATTATTGTGATTATGTCACAATATGCCTTTCTGAGCATACTGTAGATATCTACTAGTCTAGAACGCTGAACAGCTACAAGTTTCATTGCAAAAAGTGTATCATCAGGCCTCTTTGATAGGATTTAGTGCAGTGGAGTTAAATAAAACAATAAAAATCATTTGGACCCATAGTTTTGATAATACTTTTTTAATGTGGTACCGCTGGTTCTATTTTGTCCTTTCCAACTTAACAGATGTCTGAAAAAATGAATATTGCCATATATTGTTTGTTGTAATAGTTTCCTGACATAACGTGATATTATATTTTTGCCATATTTCCCACTCCTCCCTTCCAAAAGTTTGAAAAGAATAAGCTAAAGCTCATGAGGAGAAAAACTGACCTGTGAATTGTCAAAACATTGTAGCACTACATTTGTGAGGTAGATCTGCTTTAAAGATCAGCTATTAAATATTTACATGCTGATAACCACTGTTTCATGGTATTTCTTGGGTTTCCAGAGAAAACGCAGTGGCATTTATTACAATATAGACCTGAAAATATCAGTGATATGAGAGAGCTGAGAGAAAAGAAGCTGTGTGAGAATGAACACAGACCATTATTATTATTATAGAGCTCATCCAGTGTATGTGTCCCTGTGGAAGGCTGCACCAAATTCTGAAATTACTGACCGGCAACACTGCACTACTGTGCCTTGAAGGTTATGAAGATGTTTTAATATATTTTTGACTTTTGCACAGTGAAGCAGGGAGAGTGATTCACCTTTTGCAGGAGGACAGTAGTTAGACTTCTTTAATAAGGAAATATTGTGTGGTGTAATTGAGAAATGGCATGTGAAACTTCATAAATGGGTCAAAATCTCACATTTGTGTAGACCACATCTATAACAGTTCATCTAAAACTACAATATAAAGAACATCTGAGCCATACTGCCCAAATATTTAGGTATCGGTAGCATGGTGAGACAGCCTTGAGGGATGTTTGGACACAGAGATAAACTGACACAATAGAACTAAAGCTTTAAAGTTGTCTAATAAGATTGTAAACAAGAATAAATACAGAGAACATTCATTTTCATAGTTGGATTCCTATAACGTAAACACAAAAGCCTTTCTTTGTTTAATGCAGTTTGAGAAGATGCCCAGAGGTTTGGTCAGCTGAATTTCCAACAGAGGGCGCTGTTCACTTTAGTTAGACCGAAGTCTCATTTGATATCTGATCTTTCATAAGCACCCATCTTAAAACAAGTTAGATAAGATTAGATACAGATACAGCACTATCTTATCAGACTTCTTTCATGCAATAGAACATATACACCTAATAATCTTGTAATCCTGGCAGATCTAGACAACTAAATGCTTTTTGCTTTGCAAAGAAAAGGCAGTATGTGTACACACATGTATATGTACTAAAAATGTTCTGGCAGAACCCCTTTTGGTGCCATAAAGAACACATTTTTAAAAGGTTCTTTAAAGAACTGTATACAACAGGGTTTTCCCATGTGCACTCTGAAAAAGATGGTTCTTTGGTAAAAGGAATGATTCTATTTAGCACCATGAGTTACATTTAGAACCATTTGATGCTTAAATGGTTCTTTGCATGGTGAAATCGTTCTTCAGATTCATGGAGAATGAGCCGTATATGGTTCTTTTTAGAACTTTTTTGAAAATGGTTCTATACACCAAAAAGGGTTCTTCTGTTGTCAAAAGCTTGAAATTGTAACAATAGCAGAACCTTTTCTGGTTCTATATAGAACCATTTTCAAAAAGGTTCTAAAAAGAACAACACATTCTTCTTCAATCTGAAGAACCATGCAAATAACCATGTTAAGCAACAAAAGGTTCTATGTAGAACTCATGGTTCTAAATAGAATTGTTCCCTTTACTAAAGAACTCTTCAAGAACCATTTTAAGTGTGTAGATAAGAACTATTTAATTATGCATTCAAACCCTTGAGGAATCATTTTAGGCTACATCTTACCTGTTACTGTAGTAATCTTAAGAGTGATACATTAAATAATATATTTGAAAGTGGATCTATATGTACCCACAGACTAAGTCAAAGGACCTGCTTAGAAGCTCTTTTATAAAGAAGTAACACTTATAGTATATGTGAAATCTTATAGTAAATGTAAGCAGTTACAGTTTACTATAGTGTACAACACAAGTTTTATAGATAACCATAAGTCTGTCCCCAAACAGCAAAACGTTTTTGTTAAAGTTAATTATAGTATAGGCAAACATAATATGAATCATTATTAAACATGACAATCATGCATTTTAAATCTGTAAAATTAAAAAAAAAACACAATCCCAATCATTAAGATTATTGATGACACAGTTCATGGATGAAGTTTCATAACAGCCCTTCTAGACAAAGAACATTTCCTGCTATCCAATTTCTACAGATTTCCTTGCGCAGGCCGTGTTTCCAGCTGTTATATTGTACAGTCTTTAATGGAATTCAATTCATTCCATTTATAATACCTTGCAGTACCTGGGGTTGGTATATCTCAACATAAAACATGAAATGCAAAACAGGTGTTACGAAACACAGTGGTTTTAGAGGATTAATTGCTGCTGAGGATGCAAAATCTGCTTAAGAGATGTTAGATATTTAAAGAAAAGAACTTTTTCCCCCTCACACGAGGATTATATTTTAATTCCTTGCCCGTCTCATGAATTTTCTTTGCTCAACACTCACTCAAACCTTCTCTCTGTGCAACAGTAACATGGAAAAGCAAATGAAGATTCATAATCTGCAATGCAAATACGGCCATGCACATAGAGTAGCAAATATAAGCATGACAGAGAGAAATATTAACTTTTCAAAATTATGTTGATGACTAACCATTGTTTTGCTAGCAAGGTCATTAGCCGAATTATGCAATTCAAATAGCTCCTTTATTAGATACAAAAATCCCCCTTTCCCAATCAACCATGATAAATGGCTGTTAATATGGTCAGTGGAAGTGGTGGACAGGGCTTTGCGCAGTAGGTCAGGCAGCTGCTGCATTCAGCTTTCATGGGCTGCTGAAAGGTAGCCCAGCCGTGTCCCGCCTCCCGTTATTGTTGCAAATGTTCATCAAACTTTCAGTTCATATGCTGACAGACTGAAAGGCTTGGTAGCTAAAAGGAAATACAGTGTGTTTGCTGGAGACATACATTTTTGAGAATTAACAATATGTGAATATAGGGCTATTTAAATTTAAAATAAAAAAGGTTCTAAATTCAGGAAAGAAATCAGGAAATTTCAGCTAGGAAAGCTGCCTCTTCAGATGAGCTAAAGCTAAAGGTAATGCTGGAGGTAGTCAGATATGCCAAGGGGGACACATCATCTTTTACAATGTTCTATCAGCAAAATGAAACGATACATTAAATTATTTATTGTGAATTTATTTATGTATTTTTGGCAAAAACACACTGAAAAGTAGGCTATTTAAACATTGTCAAAGAACAGACAATCATTCAAAGAACCCTTTAGAAGTCAGTACTCTTGTACACTACTACTTATGAATGAATATTCTTTTTTTGGAACTCTTTTGCTCTCGGTTGTTAAACTGTCAATCCTTTTACATGAACATTGCTCTACATTGTTCAACGAAACACAGCGTTCTCACAGGAAAGTCCGCCATCTTGGCAGTTTTTTTCCAGTCACATAGGATCTCTTTGAATGTTGAGAGACCTATTAAAATTAAACTAAATGCTACATTCACGTCTCAAAAACAAGTTTCGAATCACTGATAAAATAAAAAAAACAACATAAAATATTTCTAGGGTTTTGCTCAGATTTCGCAAAAAACGCGATTTTGTATCCTATTTCTTGCTACTGCGCATGCGCATTACTCCACACCTTTCCTGCTTGCAGCTTAAACCGCAAACTAATTGGCTCATTTTACTGAAGGGCGGGGCCTTCCTCGGAAACACACGCAACGTTGAGCGTTACGTGCGTTCACTTGCCTTATAACGTCTTAATGCTTCTCAAAAAATAAAAGTGCTAAAATGATAAAAGGCATGACATACATAAGAGAAAATTATACTTAGCTTTTAATTTATAATTATCCTAATTACATTTTAATTTGATTTTTAAAAAATAATTTTCTCTTTTAAAATCTATTGTTTCAATCATGTTTTAATCATCAATTTTGCATACCGTCAATTTAGTTGATGTCTCCACAGAAGACTCCAGACTTCGTACGAAACTCGTGAACCAAAGTTAACTCTCAGGTGAGCTCTCTCGCACTGCAACATTAGCTTACAGTTAAAAAGGAGTCGTGAATGAGTTCGTAGCTGCAAGACAAAACTGTCCGGGTTTGGGATGAAATTGCTATCTAACTTAGTTTGCAAGGTAATCGTGAAGGCATGTCCAGACAGCTCATCATGTAGCGAGCCCCAGTGTTTGGTATTTTCCGTATCTTAAAGCAACTGTTGAAAAACATCACGGTGATCTAATGATAAGATTCAGAAGTTATGGTGAGTCTTTGAACTTTGAGAATGTCAGATCTTGGTCTTGGTCTT